AACAAACAAAAAATATATATATTTTTAGTTGTAGATGGAATCAATACCTTAGTTTAATTTATTATTTTAAAAAATATTTTTAAATTGTAGATGGACATAATACCTTATTTATTCATTTTTATATGGTGCTGAGGAATGAACCCAGTGCCTCACACATGCCAGGCAAGCACTTCACCACTGAGGTACAAACCCAACCCCCCATCATTCCTTTTCATAATTTTTTTGAAGTAGGGTCTCTGCTAAGCCTCAGACTCCCAAGCTAAGGATTATAAGTGTGTGCCACCGAGCCCAGCTAGGCCTCTCATTCTAATCTTAAGTTTTCCAAAYCCTTATTTTTCTCTTTTTTAAAAAAAATATTTATTTTTTTGGTGTTAGTTGGGCACAATATCTTTATTTATTTATCTTTATGTGGTGCTGAGGATCGAATCCAGGGCCTCACACTTGCTAAGTGAGAATTCTACCGCTGAGCTACAGCCCCAGCCCTCCTTATTTCTCTTAATGCAATGTAATTTCCTCAGAACTATATTCTAGTTTGTTCTTTTTTACTTTTTCAGAATTCTTATTCTTTAATAAATCTTACCCGCTGTTCATTTTATTTAATCTTTAATATTCCTTGCATAGGTGTTTTATATAGTCTGTTTAATACTAGGAATATAAACAACTCATGGGAGGCCAGAGTCAAAATCTGTTGGTTTTCACTTACGGTGGTGGTTTATTTCCCTGTGTTTGGTGATCTTTGACTGTGAGTACCTATTTGATTGATCTCAATCCATGGGACTTTTTGTGGCCTTCTGGATGACAGGGAGAACTAATGATACAAAGTTACACTAGCCTCCTCCAGAGCCCCTCTAACTGCTTAGGTCACAGGGTACTATTGATATGAATATACTGGGTTAATGTCAACTCGGCCATTCTAATTTGTTTCATTCCCGAGTCAGCTAATATTTTGTCAATTATGTAGCAACTGCTACCTCTTTTCTTGTATAATCACAAAAGCCTGAAATTTTTGAACTTTAGGTAATACTAAAATACTATTTTTAAAAATCAAGGAAAAGACCTTGCCTTCATAGTAGCTTCTTTGTTGATCATCTGTTACTACCCATATGGGCAAAATTTACAGAAAAATACTCTTATGGAAGAAAAAAAGCATGAGTGACAGGATGGATAGTAACTAATAATAACTCAATGTTAAAAATGCAGTGGGGGGGGGGGACTGGGGTTGTGGCTCAGAGGTAGAGCACTCGCCTAGCGTGTGCAAGGCCCTGGGTTCGGATCCTCAGCACCACATAAAAATAAATAAATAAAAATAAAGGCATTGTGTACAACTAAAAGAAATAAATATTTTTAAAAAATGCAGYCTCAGGTTTCTTTTTTTCTTTTCTTTTGCACAGTATGGGGGATAGGGACTTCTACATTGCCCAGGCTGGCCTTAAATTTGTGATCCTCAATCTTCTGAGCTGCTGATATTATATGAGCCATCGTGCACAGCTCTTAAAGTAATTTGAGTAAGATAATACTGCTATAGTTAGAATGGCTTAAAAATCTAATTAACATTTCTTAAATTCTCCACCTGCTAACTTAGATTTGCTTAATTCATTAATATTCTTTAGAAATAAACTCTGGCTGAGTGTGGTAGCATAGGCCTATCCCAGCTACTTTAAAATCCCAGTTACTGGGGAGGCTGATGCAGGAGAATTGCAAATATCAAGCCTCTCACTAGATAACTGAGTGAGACC